GGGAGAGGGAGGTCTGGGCCTCCCTTCTGAAGCTGCTGCCCCCGCGACCCGACCCCGGATAGGCGGAAGAAAATGGATGGATGGATGGATGGAATTTTATTACATCTTTTTCCCTTTGTACCCAAAATGCTTTTTGCTCCCTCAATACGTTTTGTATGCCCACTCTGACACCACCCTCTCAGACCACGTCAGGGTGCCATTAAGGGTATCACATCTGCACTCTGTTTTCTCCATGACCTTGTCAGAATAACAGTTGTAACCATGGCCCACGCCATATCATGAGTATGCTGCCATCCTGCTCCACTCAGGACCTTGGTACACCGCCATTACGAAGATAAAAAGCTGTTGGATAAATTTATTAAGTTAAAACAGAGCTGAGATTTCTTCAGTTTAGTAGCTGACAGCTTTATTCTTGCAGTGAGGAGGCAAGTCTGTGATACAGCATGCAGGCTTCTCACAGTGGTCTGAAAAACAAGTCTTTAATAGCTCAGTTATATACAGTTACAAATGATTGCAAGGCTCATTGTAAAGATACCAGTACATTGTTGTGTACCTTAGTAGGATGCATACAGGCATAGCCTTGATCCAGGAACCTTGGATATTTAAGTCTATGGTACGAGGCCTGGGATTCCCTGGGGGCACACTTCTATATGATGTGAGCAGCCGCAGACCTAGAGCAGCAGTAGTACTGACAAGAGGTGTAAGATACACTGCACTGCTCCACCTAACAACAGGTGATGCTGTAGCAGTGCAGTTGGACATTCAGGCAAATGGTAAATCCAGACCGATCATTACAGCCTCTGTTTATTTGCCATTTGATTCACAGCAGCCGCCTCCATCCCAGGAGTTTGTGGCTATAGTTGATTATGCTAAAGAAAAGGGTCTCCCGGTACTCACTGGTTGTGATGCCAACTCCCATCATGTGTGCTGGGGGAGCTTTGATATTAACCCTAGAGGCAGATCTCTGTTAGAATACTTGCCGACAGAAGACCTGCTAGTCTTTAATCAGGGCAATGTACCTACCTTTCAAACTGTTAATATGGAGGAGGTCATTGATATAACAGTCGGGTCTACGGACCTGGTAAACAAAGTATGTGACTGGGAAGTATCCCCAGATGAAACCATGTCAGGCCATCGACAAATTCAGTTTAAGTTGAAGATAGGGAAACCATACCCAGCCACTTACAGAAACCAAAAAACATTGACTGGAATCTGTTTATCAACAGTCTATCCCAGTTGATGGGTGGGAGAATTGCCAGGATCAAAACTGTGCAAGACTTTGAGACAGAGGTCACAAACATGACTGATGCTGTGCAATCTGACTACAAGTCTGCCTGTCCGGAGAAAGTCTGGAGGCCATCAAAGCAGCCGGCCTGGTGGACTCCAGAGTTGTCTGGCCTCCTCAAGGCAGTAAGATGTAAATGGCGACGGCACAGGTCCCAACCAAGTAAAACCAGGTGGCAACAGTATGTACAGTCCCGCAATCACTATAAAAGTGTTTTAAGGGACTGTAAGAGACTTTCTTGGACAAAGTTTTGTGAATGAAGGATTGACAGTCACACAGACAAGTGTGCTTCAACATCTCCACCAGGTACACTTTCCTGGGGCAGAAGAGACTGAACAGCCTGTCACAATTGCTAACTCAAATCCAACAGAGGACGAGTGGAGCAGAGCTGGGAGCCATTTTCGAGGGGAGTTGTGTAAACGGGACTTGACCCCCGATGCTCCGTCATGTGCACATAAATTACCTGGGATTACTGGCAGTTTTCCTGGCTTGGAGACATTTTTTACTGTTGCTACAGAGTTGTCATGTGTTGGTCAGAACAGACATGATGGTGGTACCATATCTAAAACCGACAGGGGACCCCGCCGGTGGTGCTGCACAGTCTGGCTTACAGCCTGATGATGTGGAGCAGTGTGCATCTGCTTGAAGAGCTTTCAAGACCCTGAAATATCCTCCAGGTTCAGCTGTTTTGAGCGTTGTAGTGGGCGTCATCATTCAGTATGAATTGGGTCTTATTGAGTCATTTTACAGGTTAGCTCATTTATGTTGTTTTGGTATTTTTTAATCAATAAGATAAATTATTTTCTGTTTTTTGTTTTTGTTTTTTCCAGTGCATTGCTCCTGAATTCAGTCATGAGGGCGTTCAGGCCAGAATTTGTTGCAGTCAGAGCCATTGACTTTATCAGTATGATAAAAGACTGTGATGAGTCTGGTTTCCCAAAGGTCAGAATTCGTGATTTTATTTATTACACATTTCATTTCATTTTTTACATGTTTATGTGTAGACCTGTAAAGACGGTATTCAAACTGTTTAATGTACAACCTTCATTAAAGCAGAATGCAACCACCTGCAAATCTTAAAATCCCATAGTTTATTCACAATGGAACAGGATATACATGTCAAATGTTTAAACTAAGAAACTGTGCAGTGTTTTCTCATTTTAATGGCAGAATCAGATCTGAGGTCCTGGAGATTGTAGACATTCATTGTTTTCTTTCTAAACTGTCCTTTGCACACACAGATTTTTCCAGAATCATAAAAGTCTTTTAATGATACTATAAACTGTAGGTGATGAAATACTGAAAGTATTCCAAGTTTTTCACTGAGGATCATTATTCTGACATTTTCCCAATAATTATGGCTCCGCCCACTCGGGCCGGTGGCAGACTGTTCTCTATCTGTGTGTTATTGCAGTGTGATGGATGGGCTTGTGTGCATAATATCTCCTGAACGAAATTATATATGTACTCCATAGTAACTCCATTAGGGTAGTACTCAGTCTGATTAGGTTTGGGCATCAAAGGATCAAAGTTCAAGGTCATTTATGATGATTAGTAATATAAAACTGGCATTTTTCCAAGTTGGGGTCTCTGCAGTACATGTTGTCTTGTGGGCGGAGACGGCCCTACTCGTGATTGGCGTAGGTTTTGATGTGGGCAGAGTTTACCCTAACTGTGATTGGTTAGATTGATGTCTTGTGGGGCAAAGGAAGTAATAATAGTAAAAAAATATGATTTATTGACTGTCTAGGTACAGTTTAAAACAAAACAATGACTCAAATAAAAATTATTGTGAAAATGTAATCATAATTTGACTTAAAATTTCATGTGGCTAGCTTCTTCCTGTCTCAAATTAAGACTAATATTCATATGGATTTTTAGCTATCTTTTTACAAGCTGGTTAGGGATGTTTTGACTGATCCAAATTGTTATTCGTCCCTCCATATGTATGGATTTCAAATTTCGGACAGCTAGCACCTTCCTTTCTCAAGTTACGATTAAAGTTGCTTCCTGCCCGACTAGACTAAGCTACTCCACGAGTAGGGCCATCCCCGCCTACACCAAGACCTCCACCAATCATGAGTAGGGCCATCTCTGCCAAGAGCCATCCGTGCGCCGGTGAGCAAGGCACCCCCACCAGTTGGCGGTATGGGATGGGGTGACAAACGAACCAGGGGAGGAGGAAGTCCACGTCCCAGTCTGACACATACCCACGCATACACAAACACAATCATACAATCCCACCCTCATCCTCGCACCCACTCATTCAAAGACATACAATATAGACACCACACTCCATTCACACTCCCGATACACACTCTATGCCCCCCAGGTCCAGGGTATGCCCCTGCCCCCCGCAGAGGGCAGCCCACACCCAAACCCAGGAGGTAAACCCATTTGTCCTGGGGTGGAGAGGAGCAGACGGCCAAGCCCGGCCTGGACCGTGCCGACCCGATCGGCCACCCCCGCCCCAGCAAGGCCACGCCCCGAATATCCCCCAACCACCGCCAACGGCCAGGGGTACACCCTCAGCCGACACCCGCCGGAGCCCGGTGACCATACTGGCCAGCAGGCCAACCACGCCAACTAGGAGCTACATCCCGGGAGTCCAAGCAGCTCCAGGGAAGCCAGAGCGCAAGCCCGACCCCCGGCGCACCCCCAAGCTCCCAGTCCACCATCAGTACAGGCCCCCACCTGGTGGCGTGCCCCCACCAGGGCCCCACCCCCAGACGTAAGTCGGGAAACGGGGGAGTGAGAAATAAATAAATGAATAAAAGAAGACTCGACACACACACACACCCACCCTCAAATGTGCTATTGATGCGTGTTGTTCTATGGTGTAGTTAAAAGGAGAGGAGGAAGGGGCAGAGGCTGGCGGGATGCCACATCAAGACTTCTGCCAATCACGAGTAGGGCTGTCTCTGCCCACATCAAGACCTCCACCAATCATGAGTAGTAGGGCTGTCTCTGCCCACATCAAGACCTCCACCAATCATGACTAGGGCTGTCTCTGCCCACATCAAGACCTCCACCAATCATGAGTAGAGCTGTCTCTGCCCATATCAAGACCTCAACCAATCATGAGTAGGGTCGTCTCTGCCCACATCAAGACCTCCACCAATCACGAGTAGGGCCGTCTCTGCCCACATGAAGACCTCCACCAATCACGAGTAGGGCTGTCTCTGCCCACATCAAGACCTCCACCAATCATGAGTAGGGCTGTCTCTGCCCACATCAAGACCTCCACCAATCATGAGTAGGGCTGTCTCTGCCCACATGAAGACCTCCACCAATCATGAGTAGGGCCGTCTGCCTACATCAAGACCTCCACCAATCATGAGTAGGGCCGTCTGCCTACATCAAGACCTCCACCAATCGAGTTGGGCCGTCTCTGCCCACATCAAGACCTCCACCAATCACGAGTAGGGCTGTCTCTACCCACATCAAGACCTCCACCAATCATGAATAGGGCCGTCTCCGTCCACAAGACAACATGTTCTGCAGAGACCCTCTTCTCTACCAATCAACACTTGGGTTTAGACAGTTTTTTGCAGACTGATAAACCTCTGCCCATATTTACATCTGAGAGTTTAAGCCTAATAAACTGTAGAATGATCCTCCATCTTTTTATTTATACCACTTATATTTATAGCCTTTTGTTGCCCTGTTTCTACTGTGTGTAGAGATGTGTTGCTGCCGTCAAATTCAAAATTTCTCAGTTTCAACATTTGGTATGTTTAATGTGTTTCATTGTGCATAAAATATAAATTTATCAGATTTGCAAATCATTGCATTCTGCTTTATGTTTTACACAACATCCCAACTTTTTCAGAATTGGGTTTTCAAAAATAGAAACCTTTAGAGCAGAAAAGCTGATAGAAAATATGGGCTGAGAGCTTTTTCTTTTCGTAACAACATCTGTTGGGGGTATCGGCTCCTCTGCAGCATCTACTGTTCGGGTCACTTGGTCGCAGCCTGGCGTGTGCAGATCCTCCAGAGTCAGAGAGGCTGACGATCCTCAACGAAGCTTGGAAAGTCATCACTAAAGTCCGCAGTTCTCAGGTCCGTACGGTTTACTCTGGCTTTCACCAACAAAGGCAAAAACCTGCTGTCACTCATGAACTCTAATGTTTGTAGGATTACATCAACTGTGCTGAGATCTGGGTGGAGTTCACCTGCCGACACTTCACGGTGAGTTAAAACCACCTGCTCTTCATTGCAACAGGATCAGTTAATTGTTTTGTCGCTCACAGAAGCGGGAAGTGAACACAGTTCTGGCTGACATCATCAAACACATGACTCCGGACCGAGCTTTCGAGGACGCCTACCCTCAGGTTGGAGGAGGACACACCCTGATTTGATGCTTGCTCCTCGGTCTGTCTGCTCTGTAGTGACTGGGTTGTGTTTGTTCTGCATACAGCTGCAGTCAGTGATGGGGAAGATCCTTACCTACTCCCACGACTTCTCTGTGCTCTTCTCCATGGTGAGGAGTTATAAAACCCATGAAAGAACTGTGGACTGGTTCCATCACTGGGCCTCAGTTCCATAGGTTTTTCACATGTCTGTTCCTCAGGAGCGTTTCCTGCCATTCCTCGACATGTTCCAGAAGGACAATGTGAGGGTGGAGGTCTGCAAATCCATCATGGAAGTCTTCATCAAGTGAGTCAGTTTAACAGAGATCATGGACCATGTTTAGTTGAGTAGAATTCGTTCTGTTTTGTTCCTGCAGACATCAGGTGGAGGTCACCAGAGACCCTGTCATCCTCAACGCCATGCTGCACATCTGTAAAACCATGCACGACTCTGTGAAGTAAAGGGCTGCTTCTTACTGCAGGAGCATGTTGTCATTTGTCAGCTGCTCTTTAGATCATCAGCATCTTCTCTGTTTTTGTGTCATAGCGCTCTGACTCTTGAGGATGAGAAGAGATCTTTGTCTCTGCTGATCATCGGCTTCATCCGCATGGTGAGACTGAGCTTCAATAGATGAAACTGGTTCCATCTGTTATTCTGAATGCAGTGGGTATCGTTCAGATTAAACAACAGAAACTTAATGTTATGCAAAGAGCTAATGTTCCCTGAAGGGGAGGAACAAAGTACAGCATAAAGTATGGGATGTTCTGGCTCAAAACCCCTCTGATCATGTCTTTAGATAGAAGACGTGATGACAGGTGACAGGCCTCACTGCACCATGTACAGTAATCTGTCCGTCACTGCAGTCATTCCTCAGTTAGCTGATCTTCACCAAAGCAGCTGTGCAGGAGGGCAGCCATGTGCTGAACCTCATTCCTCCTTCATGGATCTGTAGTTATTTATATGAAATGACCTTCTCTTCTGTTGAATCACTCAGTACAACACATGAAGTATGAGACGTCCACTCCTGGTCAAAAGTTTAAGACCAGTTGAAAAATGACAAGAATTCACATTTTGAACTGTTGGATCTGAACAGTGGTGAGCACCAGCCCGTTAAAGCCCAAATCCACTAATTGCGGACATAAATATTTCATTTGTGCTTTAGCGGTTTTATTAATTTTTATAATTCATAAGCAGATTTGCGCTTTCTAAAATTAAAATGCAGTACCGCTAATAACTAATTATCTACCAGTGATCATAACGGAAGGTATGACTGTCAATGAATCACAACACATGTGATCYATCCAACAGCACCCCTCCCAGATAAACACTCTTATTGTGAAGGTATTCATCCTGCTGACTGTTGCTTTAGGTCATGGTTCTGATTTCCCACAATGCTTTGTGTCTGCTTACGTAGCAGGAAGGCAATGTTTAGAACTCCCTGTCCCAGCAAAAACAGTTAACGTTTGTAATCCATACTAAAATTTTGTATGTACTGTATTAATTTATTTTACTTTACAATCGGAGCTCCTTTTTAAAAAAAAAAGTTTAAACGCTGGAGTTCAATACTTGATAAGAGACTTCTTCAGTCTGATGAGTTTCAGGTGAAACTCAGTCCTATAAGCTCCGCCTCCACCTGAACAAACAGGTTAGTCACATGCAAAAGGGGGCCATCGCCTAACAATAGGCTTGATTGGCTCTATTGTTCATAGAGGGTCATGTGCCCCGTCACCTGACCCGTGTCGTGTTATGTGTACGTAGTGAATGCAAGCGGGGGTTCAACGTCCCCTTGTTTTTGTCTCTCTTTCCCTCTTTGTGTTGCGTATTGTTGGGGCCCTGATTCACACCTTTTGAACAATAGAGCTAATCAAGCCTTTTGTTAGGCGATGGCCCTCTTTTGCATGTGACTAACC